GTGGGAGACGGGCTCTAATTAAAATAAAGAAATAGAATGACATTATGCTATTGAATTTTACTATTCAATTTTCTTTTGCACATGTCATGTTTGTACATTGTCCCCGTTTACACTTCCCACTTGTATGTACATGTACATGTAAATCATTATCTGATTAGTCTCATACAAATTACATGATTCATGAACATGTGTAAATTTCAAGTCCTATCTTAAATTTGGACACAAGCTTCTATTTGAGGACTCTCTTATACTTTATATACAATGATGGCTCCTATTCTCTTAATGCATGTGCAGTCCCAGCTTCTAATTACAAGCTTTCATTAATTTGAGAAGGCTTTTAATTAGGACTGTACTCAGGGTTTCACACAAAGTAAAGTGAGCTACACAACATACATGTACATTACAGTACTTCATGAGCTGACAATCACTACAATACACAGTAACACATGGCTTTTGGTGTAAGTTTAATTTCATAATTTTAGTTTTGATCTGAATCAGTTAAAATTTTCAAAACAGCACCAGGGTTTCCCACAAAGCATGCTAAAAGATCTAAAATGTATGCTTAATAAGCTGACAAGCATTATAGTAATAGAATAAATTTAAGCTTTGGAACAACTCTAAAAATTTATCAAAAAATTCAGTTTTGATCGAAATCAGCTTAAAACTTCTATACAACATAAAAGCATGTATCAAATATTATAATAATGGAGAATTTTTAAAGTGTTATTTGATAAACCTTGGCCCAAAACCATGTATATGTACATGTCTACAGCAATTTTGAAGCAACTTTTAAAATTTATAAAAATCAAATTATAATTAAATCAGCTCAAAATTTGTACACAACTTGAGAACATGTACAGTATAGCACAAAATTTTTGAGGGCTGTAAATTTTAATGAATTTGCCCAAAAATCTATTTTGTGGATTTAATTTTCGCAAATTGCCGTTCACCATTTTGTAAGAATTTTAATTTTCGCAAAACTAATTTTGCAAATCTTCAAAAAATTCGAAAATCAACGAAATTTACAGCCCTGCACTATATGGTACTTGTATCAAAAAATTATAAAATTGAAAACTTCTCTCCTAGCAATTTTTGATAAAATACCATGTTTATTATTATTACTATAGTACAAGATCTTTAATCAGATTTTTAAAAGTTTAAAAATTCACTAATAAAGTCCGAGTACTATGCTAGAATCATGAGAGAAATCCTGCACACAATAAAAACATGTATTATGAACTACATGTATCAGGAAAAAATAATGGCAAATTCTCTTGTACCCATTTTTAACAAAAATACATTGTATTACTATAGTACAAGCCATACATGTACATGTATTTTGTCATTATTTTGAAGTGACTCAAAAAATTAAGAAAAGACTCAATTTTGATCAGAATTAGCTAAAAAAATTTATGCGGCATAACAACATCTAAGTGCATCAGAAAATGAAATAAAATTGGATAATTCTCTTCTATCAATTTTTAACAAAATACCCTGTACTACATAAAGGGCCTTCAATAAAATTATTTATAAAATACAGAGTGTGATTCAAATCTACTAGCTCAAACTTGAAAATTTCTACATAACATACATGTAAAAACATGCATTATGTATAATAAAACTCTCCTAGCCATTTTTAATGAAATAAAACAGGGTTTTCTACAAAGTGCTAAGCAAGCTATATAGCATGTCAATAAGTTGCATATTACTGTACATGTACATGAACATTAATACATACTATACATTGTAGCTCCCAATCTTTCCTGCATGTCTCTTGTATGTGATGTGTGTATGTATGTACTTTGCTAGTTCCATTAGTGGTTTAGTCAATTCCATCTTTAAGAGTACCTCAGGCAGTGAGAACCAACCTCTCTCTCTCTTCATTAGTCTATAGTCATGTGTTAATGCTAATAGGCCACCACCTGCAAATGAATGACCTACAGTATACAAAAATATAATTAATTTATAATACATGTACATGTGCTATAGTAATTAATGATTTTGACCTTTTAAAACTGAAATTAATCATCGTTATTGTTATTATATCATTACATAATTATCATTATTATTATTGTTTTATTTACCGTTTATTGCTGCTATTGTTATTACTGGAAATGTCAACATTCTTTTAAATAAAGTATTCAAATTGACGTCAAAGAGAACTCTAACATCTTCAGGTGAATAAGATGGGAAGTTATCAAGGTCTAGTCCATTAGAATAGAACTTGCCATCACCAGTTGTGATCAATGCTTTTATATCTTTATTACTAGAGAGAGATAGAGACAGATAATTGGTAGAATGGTAGTACTTATATCTTGCACTAATACATTACATACAGTATAAGCAAAGTTTCCCACAGGACTTTGGCATAGTGCTCATGCAGTTTCTTGTCAGTGGATCAAGTTGCTCAAAAAAGAGACCAAATTTTGTCAAAAATGACTATGAGAGAATTTTCTATTTTTATAGTTTTTTCTGATACATATACATGTCCTTATGCTGCATATCAGCTTTGAGCTTTATCTGATCAAATTTGAATTTTTAATGAATTTTAAAGTTGCTCCAAATGCTGTTTAGCTCACTTAGCATATGCTTTGTGATTAAGCATTAAGAACTATAGGGAAGGATTAAAATTAATTCTAATGGATACTCATCACTGATGTCAACACTCTCACGTTTCATCATTAACAAGTGCCACATACAGTCAGACCACAATTGGGTCGGACATGAATACATGAATGATAAAGATTTACTGTATAGCACTTCATTTTGGCAATTTTGCGAGAAATTGTAATTAGCAATTCTTAATTTGGCAAATTTTGTGTACACGTGCATTACTGAGCATTAATGATTGGCAGTTTTAATCCCAGAGAATTCACTGGCAAATTGCCAAATCCCAAAATAAAAATCCACCAAATTAAAGTGCTATACAGCTAACCATAATGTACGTGTATCTAGACAATGAACCACACCGTACGTTTGCGGTACATGCATTGCCCCATACCTCTCTATGTCGTCCAATGCTTTGAAATATTCTTTAAAGAAGGTTGGAGTGAACCTGTTCTCTCCTTTACACATTTTAATGATAGCCACTGATCCCTTGCACTCTAATGTAACTGAACTAGCAGCAGTAGACGAGTGTCTAAATATACTGCTACTCGCAGACATCTTAAAGAATGAACTGATCACTGATTTAGAAGCAGTACAGGAAAGGAAAACACGAACAGCCATTCAGAAAATTCAGAAATTCAGATTTTAGAATTGGGTGTGGTCCAGGGCGGAGTTTGTACAAAAATGGCTGCAAGAGTGAACTACATCTGTTCTTGTTTCTTTCACAGAAATATTTATTTACAGAAGTACAAGTATCATGTTCATTATTATGATGATCAAAAGTTCATTGAGGACTATTCTGAGGTAAACTTAGATTGTCTTTTGTAATATCTCGCCCTCTCATAGACATTTCTACGTTGGAGCTGTACCGATGA